TTTTATCTGGAAACTGTACGGCGCGCACATCTTCCAGGGACAAGATAGCCAGCGAGTTACTTTTGGTGCAGGTGGTAAGGCTCCATTCTACCACAAGTGAATAACTGGCTAAACCTTGCATCATAGGCTCTCTGGCATCCCGACTCCGAACATTGTTCTGGATAGCGGTCGGAAACTTTGTCTTTCCCGGTAAGTCCACTAGCTGATGTAGTTCACGGGTTGCTGACAGGAACTCTCAGTTATCTTCAATATTGCGCTTACAACCGTCATCTTCGTGGACCCTCAGTATACGACTCTCACGGGCAACCTTTTCATCACGGACTACTATCTTTCAATTATTGGTGTCGTCTTTGCAACTCGTAAGCGGCCTTGGCAATTTTTCGCAGTCGATGGAGGTCGATATGTTTGCTGACCCTGCGTTAGTTTGGAGCACGAGCACGGCCATCAAGAAGGACGAGTCTATTCCGTTGACTTGGCAGCTTGGGCAGCTACCAGAGACCGCTTCTGCCTCTACAAAGCATTCTAACGCGGATCGCGCCGGCCTCGAGCCTCCCAGCGAGGAGCTATTGCAGTACGCGCCAGACAAAACGTACAACTCAAGCTGGTCAGACATTGAGAGACCAAAATCGCGAAGGGAAGCGGTTCCACCAACAGTGCTCGTCCAGGTGGGGCAGCCGCAACAGTGACAATGGTCTCGGCGCTGGTAGGGATATTGTGATTGTGAAGTATTCTGTATTTTTAAGCCGTATGTACTTGTCTCGAGGCAAATGCTCTCACATTGCTAAGGTGAATATAAAAGCTCACAGTGGCAAAGTCCGGATCCAGACCCTTGTACACGAACCCCTAAGTCCAACTCACGATCCAATTTCACTCGGGCTCGCACAACGCTGACTGCCGTTCGCTCGAGTCACGAACAAATGTAGAAAGAACTTCTCGCTTAGTGATCCAGCTTGCCCTTCAAGTACGCAGCAACTCAGTACTAAGCCCGCCAAATCTAGGTCGGCTGAACTTAGATCGGCGCGGTATAGAGTAGTTCTACAAGCTCTTCCCGTCCAGAACACTATGGTATGATGAATAATTGAGCATGAACTGGGGCAGAAATAGGCACAGTAGGTACCGCATAGCGATCCGTTATTCTCTTCTCACCAGACGAATGGGCACGTCGCGTACTCCTAAGTTCATGTCCATATAGCCGCGCATCACTCGTCGTCTCCACTCTTCCCTAGTCTCGCCTTCTTTCGTGATAATCCTCACCTTCCAGTGCCTGAGCAGTTTGGATAGGAAGCACACGCCTTCCGCGATCGCAAACTTGCGGCCAATACCTGCAGAATATGACGTGTCAGAACTAGCCAAGACGAAGAACTAGCGCATACATGAACGAGAGCCAAATGAGAACGTTATGAGGTCGTTATCATGAGCGTCGTACCACCGCTCCGGTTTGAACGCCTCAGGGTCTGGGAACAAGTGAGGGTTGTAGTCTGCAGATGGAAGTAAGGCATTAGGACATGCGTTCCACTTTCGGGCTGATGGGTGACGTACGCAGGCCAACCAAGTCTACCACAACACGCGTATCACGCTTGAGAGGTAGAAGTCCGTCGTTGTTGGGTCCAACGTTGGATAACACCACATCCTCAGTAGTATCGCGTATCATCATCTGTACTGCAGCTGATATAAGAGTCAGCGGGCGTATTGTTGAGGTTATATAGGGGAGGAGTATCCTTACGGAACAAGCGAGATGCCTCCAAAAAGCATGAGCGAACCTTGGTCAAACGTGCCGAGTTCTCAAAAGTCTGTATAGAAACATGAGACTCCGGATAGCTAAGCAATAATTTGGCAATACTAACGACGTCGGCGTCAGTAGGCATCACTTTCATGATTTCGCGATAAACCTCCTCTTGGAAATCTTCATAGAGACCGAGGAACCCAGTAGCTGCGTTAAGGGTTTTGGACGTAGTGTCTGCGATGTGTCAATAGCCTCCTCGTACAAGAGTTCACATATGACGTACCATGACCCGCAAGGAGTAGAATGAATGTGTTTCCGATCTGAGAGAAAGCGTAAATCAGACCTAAGCAAACACGAGAGTATCTCTCACTAGCTCAGAGTCGTCCATCATGAACTTGTCCTCTCCTTCATTGGACTTTATCATGAGCGTAAGAATGTCTTTGTGGTTGACGTGGCCAGAAGTTAAATCTCTGCGACGCTCATTGATCATGTCCCGCATGAACTGATTCATTGCATCGACCGCCGTACTGAGATCCCGTATCCTGAAAGGTCATCAAAAACGTCAGCCGACACGACGCGGTAGAATCACTGGGACACACACCACTTGATGGGGAGATTGTATGCCCATTGAGGCAAAAGGATTCGTGCAATGTGGTGCTTCGAAATAATTTCCAAGGCCGTGGCAAAGGACATCCTACCCGGGGAGGACTCGCGGGCCGTCCAGCTTAGCGGATTACCAAAGCCGCAGGCCGATATGAGGATGAGAGCAAACTAACACCCACGATTAAGTCAGAGAGAAGTTTAATGGTGGAGAAACGTAGAGCGCACCTTGTATGTGTAGCTGTTAATGGCAGGAATATCTACAGTCGACCTTTCTAACCATCCCTCTTCGGCCTCCATCTCATCGAACACCCGGGAAGTCTCTTCCCACACGGCGGCGTAACTGAGACAGCCAATTTGCAACGTGAATGCACGCAGATATTAGGCAGTGGCTACGTACGTTGCCGGGCAGAACGCAGGTGCGATGATCCGTCTGTGCCTTTTCCAATCATCTCCATTGGCTGCGAACACGTTGGGACCCCATACTCTGCACGGTGCCATTGAATTATGGCTCTTAATAAAGCAACATGAAGGACACTCACAAAGTAATCAACACTGTACTATATTCTTTGAAGAACTGGCTCTTGGTCGAGACGACCTGTCGTGCTACCTCCAACGACGAGGTGTAAACTGTAGGTTGGCCAAATAAGTATGGTAGCGCTGATATGGTTTCCGTGCTGGCACGAGAGTAGACTAGGTATCGAGGTTAGTCATCTTTGGCTGAGTGTGAGTGTGTTGGAATCCTGGATACCTTGTTGGCGCCAGTGCCATTGCCAATTCAGCCCCGGGTTGAGCCAGCAGGTGGGTATAGCTGCACCGAATGGCGAGATGGGAGTAACCAAGGATCGGAGACCGGGGAGGTGTCCCAGGTCCTGACCACGTTCAGCAAAAAGGAATGAAGAGACGCTCTGTGCTCACCCTCTTGGCCTTGAAGTAGTTGAAGAAGCGGGATGCCACAAACGTCGCGACCAAAGCGACGGCAACAGA